CTAATACTAGTCGTAATTATACGACTAGTAGTACTAGCGTCGATCGCGATCGACTTTTTGGACGAAAATTTGTTCTTTAATTTTGAATAAACGGACTTGTTTTTCGTGTTAGAAATAGTAGTCTCCATGCACATATACCTTTTCTTTTTTGTTATTTATGTGAAAAAATGAAATTTTTTGTGATAAATAAAATTGTTATTGGATGGGGTTTATATAGGAAGTGTTATTATAGTATATAGTTTTTATGGACAATTTGAGATATTTTATTACTAGTTAAATGGCGGTTGTAAAGTCGGTATTACGTGGGATTTGCGCGTACGGAAATTTCGTGGTGGGTTGCAGAAATTATAATGTGTCATTTTCGTTGTCTTTTTTATTATAGAGTTATTGATAAAAGTCAAAAGTAATGGAGAAGTGTGGGTGAAGATATTTACCAATATGAATTATTTATACATAATTTAAAAAATAAAAAATAAAAATTATTAATATTTATCAAATTATCCTCTTCCTAAATTATATTTTAATTGACCTTTCTTTACAGAAAAATATTAGATATGACAAAATAAGAATAAAATGGGAATAATGTCATTAAATAGTAGTCATATAAGAAAAAATAATTTTCTTTTTTATATCGTCTAAAAATATTAAATATGACCAAATAAAAATAAAGTGGGAATAATGTCATTAAATAGTAGTTATAAAAGGAAAAATATTTTTTTATAAGATCATCTAAAAATAAAAATGTATTGGATAAATCGAGAAAAAAGAATGTGATAATCTTTTTAAATTGTACATGTCAATAAATATATGGAGTTTTGAAAATATTAACCAAACAATAGTGCGATATTATTGTCAGATCTCCATTTCTCTTTTAGCAACCGATTTAGAGATACGCAATGCAAGTATTAAATTATGTATAAGTATAAAATTAATATGATATTCAATTTATAATTAAAAATTCATATAACTAATACATTTTATATATATATATATACCGTTATATTAAATTTATACATGATAAAATGTAGAACACCTAATAAATCCCTACATAAAAATATTATATGATATCTATCCATTATAACTAAACTCTATATTATTAAAATACCTTTATAATATCTAGTTATGTTATTGTCATTGTTGTATAGTACGATATTATTGCCATGTGGGAGGATTCTAAATATGCGGGGGAGTGGAGGCGGACGCGTATATTATTATTATTATTATGTTGATAAAAAAAATATTGTCATCATATAAATATCAAAACATGCGACATGGAGGCTTTTTAATATAGCAAGTCTTGTCTAAATTTATGTTCTCTTCCTTTATTTAATGGTTCTTTTTTTAAGAAAAAACAAAATAAGAACTTTTTGGAGAAAAGAATGTTGGGGGGTTGAACCTTAATAGCTTTCTTGTAAAGAAAGCAGCTGCCCAATTTGTTTTTACGTCGTTTATGATGGAGCTAAAATTTTCATTAAAGAGTTTAAAATATAAAAAATTAAATATATAAAAAAGTCGAAAGTATTCAATATTTAGTCATTTATAATATAGATAAAAAAATTTTTTTAACTATATATGAGTAATATATTTTTTGCACAGAAGAGAATTCGATGAACCCTAAGCCAGAGACGAACCCAGATTTTGAAAACTTTGGGTGCACTATATAAGCTCTAAAGTAAATTAAAAAATAAAATAAGTGACGCCACTTGTTTATACCAACTGCACAAGAACATATAGGTGCACTATTTATTATATTCTTTTTTATATATATTTAAATCATTTTTTCAAAATTAGCGATTACATGTACATCGTTACTAAGCCATGTGGGTCCGCTTGCCTAAGGCCCTCACTAGCTCCGATCCTTCCTTGTGCATGAATATCTTAAATTGTAGAATTATTGTTCTGTTTCACATTTAGTGTCATACCTTTTTAATTCATAAATTAAATGCACATGCAATTTTTCTTTTGAAGACGATCTTCAAAAAGATAAAGTTTCTTTTGTCCCCCATTTGTCAAAAAGGGTAGAGCTGTTTGGATAAACAATGCTTTGTAAAGATCTATTGAGATAAGAAGTTTGTTGAGAGTTGAAAATGTGTTTAGATTGTGTAGCCTATAATTTTTTTTAAAAAAATGTGGAAGTTTTGGAAACAAATCTTTGAAAATTGGAAACCATTATTCCACATAGGTGTGTAAAGGGTATTGTGTAATGTTTTGATCAGTTAGATTCACATGTTGTTTACATGTAAAATATTAAAGTTAAATTTTGGTAAATTTCTTCTGGCATCCGTGTAATTACTTTAACTAATGAGATACTGTTTTTGTCGTAATTAAAAGGCGAATTCAAAATTCAAAAATAAGAAAAATTTCTAGCTTGTTGGGTCCCGTGGGGAGTATCATGGTGAATGACAAGTGACATAAGTGTTGAACAAGAAGAAAACTGATGATTGGAACATGTCAAATGAATAGGTTCAACGTAATTGACTGACGTATTTTGCAGCAAGTGTTGATGAGGAAGTAAGCTGACAATTGAAATATGTCAAAAGAACCAGTTCAACAACGATGGTAAAATTAGAGTCGCACTAGGATTAATTTTAATTATATTTATTAGAATTATATTTGGACTAGAATTAGATTAAAATTAGAATTATAGTATCACGAGGATTTGATTATTTATAATTGCACTATTATTATTATTATAATAGTAATATATATTGTAGTAGAACTCTAAGTATTGTTAAAATAGGACTCAACTATTTATTATTATCATCAATATCATCAATAATTATCAATACAATCCTTAATTTCTCTAATCTTAAATACAAAATTTCTACACGTAAATTTTTATAATAAATTTTGTTTTTTATAGCATGGAGTTGGATGTGATTTGGACAAAGGGTAGTTAAGTTTTGTTATTTATAGTGTGGATAGCGAAGTGATTTGGATGAGGAAAGGGAAAACAAACCCTAAAGTAATGTGACATATAAAATATTATGAACCTACATTACTAAAAAAAAAATAAAAAAAATAGGGACAAAATCGACGAAAATCGATTCAATTTATTAAATTTTTTTTATTTTTTAATAGTAAACTGATAGATGCATGTCAGTTTTTTTGAGAAAAAAAAAGAGTGAAAATTATAATTTTTTTTAAAAAAAATTGATGTAATTCCTTTGTTTTTAATATTTTCTTATAAAATTTGAGAGATCGATGATTTTGAAAGTACCAAATTACCGTTGAAAATTATAAATAAAACAATAAAAATATTTTATCAAAAATCATATATAGTTCATACCAAAAAGCAATTTTCTTCAATTAAAAAATAATAATACTGAAAATCGATGTTAAATCACCAATCGCTATAGTACTTCTTTTTATATTTAGAAATCAATTAAAATGTTAACATGCGTTGAGACTTATTAAACAGTATACAAATGAAGTCCACGAGAAACATTAAACAAGATGATTTAAAATTATAGATATTTTAAATTTTTGTATTAGATACAGGTTAAAAATAACAATGTCTTTTTTTCTTCTCTTAAATTTATTCTAATGAAATAATATGACATAATTAAATCGGGGCAAAAGAATAATAAATTATAAATTAATGATTATATATCAATGAACAACAAAGTTCAAGTGTATCTTTAGCATCGTATATGATTCAATTTGGGAAAAACTCCACCGTGAAAATTTTTTTTAAGAAAAAGAATTAAATTATAATTTATTCTAAATATCTAGAAAATATATAAAAAATAGACATGATTCAAATGCTTAAGAAATTTTAAAGGCCTTTAAATATGACTTATATCTCATATGAAGTAGTCCTCATTTTAAATTACATCAACAATATTTTTGTTATCGAATAAAATTGCTTACTGTCATTTTTATTAATAATAGCATATTATAAGTTTTCTAATCACAATTACTATCAATTATGTATTTTTTTAATATATGGAATTGGAATTGATAAGCATAAAGTATTTTTTAAGGCTATTCAAGACCGCAATAATAATATTTATCTCTTTTATTAATCTCTAATCTGATCTGCAATTTAAACAATATCATATGACAAATCATTTTTTTTTAAAAAATAATACAACATATATCACATCTTACAAATATATTAGTTTAAGCACATGATGGTTATCAATTTACTAGGAATAAAAAATATTTTTAATTCACAATTTTTTTATTCTTTGTACTTGAAAAAAATTAGAAATTATATACTTGATTATAATCTTTTCTGATCAAACAGTTAAAATTTAATAATTTCATAAATTCAATTAGTATCTAAGAACAAACCATATCATATAATATTTATTTTGGTGTTATTACAAACGTCGTGTATCTGTAAGTTTGTATTAAAAAACTATTATATGAGTCGGCAATCATTTCTTTGGATAAGGAAATGATATCATATTGTACGGTGGTAATTATCAAATATGTCATAAATAAATGAGCTGTTAAATAAATCTAAATTCCATTGTTGAATTAAATCCGTGAAATAATTTATTTTTTTTCAGTTTATCCAATTGTACTTCTTTTAACACTTTGTTTAAATGTTGATATATTTTATAATATATCGTATAATATTATATTATATTATAACGGTTTAATTAATATAGTGTATGAATTAATTATATCATTTTTTTTTGCTCTATATAATATGAATAATGATAATATAATTAAATTTTCATGTTTATTCAAATAAATTATATTTCTCGATAGATAAATCTAAGTAAGAAAATAATATTTTACAATCTCCACACAGGCACGTATTTCTTTTATATATAAAAGTAAAAGTTTAATTATAATTAAGGGAGATTTATAGTAATAATAATAATAATATATTATAAAGATAAAAGAATTATTTTCGATTTAAGGGAGATTTAGGTAAAAAAAGAAAAAAGAAGAAGAAAGGACAAAAAGTTTTTAAAAAAATGGATGAGTACTACCACGGATAGAGAATTAATAAAGGAGTAAATTGTCACAAATAAAAGTTCGAGGGCTTCCACTTTACTTCTCCGCTAGGGAAAATATTACTTGGAAGATCCTTGTCGTTTCGAATTGCGATTTCTCTACTGGTAGGCGTCCAAAATCCAACTAATTACGACCATTCTTGTTCATCGCTCTCGTTTTTTTTCGGTTCAACAGATCGCTATCAAACGTAATCGCACATATACATATTTCTGATTGAAAATTTTGTTCAATTTGATTCGAAAATCGACGGATTTTACCTACAGATTCATCCGATTTCGCCTGATTTTGAATTGAGGATTCAAGGGAAGATCAGATTATTCGACTGTGTATTAGGCAGAATGTTTAACGGAATGATGGATCCTGAATTGATCAGAATGGCGCAAGAGCAGATGAGTCGCATGTCCCCGGCTGATTTGGCTCGGATGCAGCAGCAGGTTTCTATTTTCTCAATGCCTTTTTAGCTAAATTTCAATTTTGAATTTGTAATTCTTCGTATTAGTTGCTTGAACAAGTTGTGGTTGTTGAGATATAATTCGTCTGGTGATTAGAGTGCGGGGATTTTGTTATGGCGGATCATTGCGGGTATAACTGTAGATCCAGTTTAATTTCATTTCAATTCTACAGCTAATAAGCTTATGATGTAGCTATAGATATGTACGAATGAAAATATTGTGAAATGAAGGTATCAGTCAATAGAGAGGTTACTAAAAAAAAGAGGAATTTTTTGTTACATGATTGGTACTCCAGGCACCACTGTTGCTGAAAAAGGAATAGGTGCAAACTTTAGTACAGAAATTAGTAGGGGTTAATGGTCTGAAGTAGTTATAACTCCTGTGTGTTTGTTCCTGATCACCAGGCATTGGCCAGACTTCCATTTTTATTTTTTCTCTGACCTTTGGATCGGTTAATAATCTGAAATGAACTTGGATAACTATTTCGTTATTGGTGCTGACACACTGCTGATCTACAGATGATGTCTAATCCTGATTTAATGAGAATGGCTACTGAAGGCATGAAAAACATGAGGCCGGATGACTTAAAGGTTGCTGCAGAACAGTTGAAGCATACTCGTCCTGAGGATATGGCTGAGATTGGTAAAAAAATGGCTAATGCTTCACCTGAAGAAATAGCAGCAATGAGTGCCCAAATGGATGCTCAGGTTAAATATGAAATTAGCGGAGCTGAGTTCCTGAAGAAGCAGGTAATTTATTTTGTGATACACCGATAGATTCTCGGTAATTCCATTTTTGCACTCATTTGGCTTCAATTGGTGTATATAATAACTTAATGAGTTCATTCTTATGATCCTTAAGAAGAGAGTTACTTTTTAACTAACCATGTGAGCTGGTTTTTACATCTTTTTAATTCACTGTTGTACCAAACCAGCTTGAACTTTAAGAATACGTACATGTGCATACAACTTCCTGTCATGTACGGTTATGCAACTTGTTAATTACCTTGCGAAGTGTCTCTATTATCTCTACATGAGATGAATAACTTGTGACTTGTAAGCTGAAGGTCTGACTTGATTTATAACAGTTATTGTACATCATTACTAAACAGTTGCTCTTTTCAACATGCTTGCCTTTGGTTGCTATGATTTTGGTCTTGTATGCGATGTTTCTGTGATACTGCAACAAAATTATCTGTTATGCATTTCAATTTCAATGCTAAACAATGAGCTTATGGTACTTGATGGATGCTTTGCCTTATTTGGGAATAAGCTCATTTGAGGATCTCTATGTACAAAATGACAGGGAAATGATCTTCACAGCCAGGGAAAGTTTAAGGAGGCCCTGCAGAAATATTCGCTTGTAAGCCTAACCTTTTCCTTTTTGGTTTGCTTGTGTCTACAGAAACTTAAGTTACTGTTCTGATTATTACTTTACTTTTCTTTTTCAGGCAAAGAAAAATCTGTCAAGCATTCCTGCCGCGAAAGGCAGGAGTATCTCATTGGCTTGTTCCTTGAACATGATGTCATGTTACTTAAAAACTGGACAATACGATGACTGCATAAAGGAAGGTAGTGAGGTATGGGGATAGTGCTTTAAGTTTGCCTAAGTTTGAGGCTTAATGATTCTAACTTATATTTTTTTTTTCCATAACATGGTGGGAAACATGTGCATTTGTATCCAATTGTGCTCTCTTGTTATATATTTGTGTTTCGATTTGCAGGTTTCTGTTGTAGTTGTCCAAGGGCAGGGGGTGTTTACTCTAACCCAAGATGAATGTCCACTTTATTTCTGGTCTATTTCAAATTATGTTTACCTTTTTAAAAGAAAGATGTGTTCACATATGTACATGATTTAAGAGTTGACTTTTACACTTCTTGTTACAGCTTCTTAAAAAAACTTATTCTCAAGCCTGAAAGTTTTTAACTCATTGAAGTTAAATATTCAATTTGGTACATGTTAAAACCTATGCCAAATGAAAACTTGACATTCAAGTCTTACGTTAGTTCAGTTTTGAGATTGAGCTGTGCTTGAATATGAATCATAACTGCAGTAATATGGTTGTTACATAATGTATGCCTGGTGCAGGTTTTGACATATGACGACAAGAATATCAAAGCTCTTTATCGTAGGGGTCAAGCTTATAAAGAGCTGGGACAGTTAGAAGTGAGTATTTTGTCGACTCTTGTGACTTTTCTCATTGTTTGTGTTTTGTTCCAACGCTTCTCCTACAATGTACGATATTTCCCAAGCCTCTTATTTCTTTTTTAAACCATGAATAGGATGCAGTGTCTGATTTGAGTAAAGCACTTGAAGTCTCGCCTGATGATGACACTATTGCTGATGTCTTAAGGTATGTAAATATTTGTTTGAAAGGGTACCCCTCTCCTTTTTCTTTTTTGATCTCTTGCTGAAACTCTAGTGCGCATGGTTTTAGATGCTAATGAATCTCTCTTTTCTGATTCAGGGGTGTCCAAGAAAGATTGGTGAAAGAAGGTGGTTCTTCAAGACGTATGTTATGCATATCCATATTTTAGCTGAATGTGAATTTTATTAGAATAATTCCGATGTTATTGAACTTGAGTTTTCCTTCCTCGGTCAGGTAGAGGAGGATTGGTTATTGAAGAAATAATTGAAGAAGAACCATTAGTGTCTTCAGAAGCCGTGGATAATTCATTTCCAAAAAGTGTTGCGTCACAACCACGTGAATCGATCAGCCCTCCTAAGAGTCAAAATGAAATTCTTGGTGGGCCTCCCTTATCAAGTTCAGAGTCTTTGGAGGCTTTAAAAAATGACCCCGAATCCATGAGGTTTGATTCTTGATGAGTTTAATTCCTTATATTCACATATCACATGAAACTTCTGATTTTCTCCTATATTTTGAACTTATGATTGCTTATGTTTATGTGGAATTCATTTCGCTTGTGTTCTGGTCATTTAGTTGAAGAATGACATAATAATGACCATGATGTTGCAAAAATTTCTTCCATAACAATATATATGCTATTTGCTACTCTCAAATTTCACACCCGTTTTACTTTCAAGCTCTGAATTGGTGTAGATTATTGATTAGACATAATACATAAATATGCCCTTTAACTTAGCATCATTTCTCACATCTATGCCCTTCAAACTTTGGGTGTGCTGTGTGCACAAGTAGGCACTTTAATTTGTATTAAGTTGAACAAGTGACATGATACACATAGGACATAGGATGAAAATCGTCATGTAGGATGTCACATAGGAAGCATGTGTTTATTTATTCAACTTTGTTCAAGTTTAAGTGCCTACTTGTGCACGCCCAAAGTTGGAGGACATAAATGTTAAGTTGAAGCCAAGTTAAAGGGCATATTTATTTTATTATGCCTATTGATTATGAGTATACTTCTTTAAATTGCATGTCTTCTTTCTCTAACTTTTTCATGCACAGATAGTCCTTTTATCTTTTGGATGTTCTACTTATCTTGCATGAGTGTTATTGCATATATGGCAACGTTATACTGAAGACAGGGTTACTATAGCTGTGTCTGTGATCAGATGCACTGGTTTATTTAATTTCATATTGCATGAACATTTACTGTTGTGTAGTCTCTTATTCTTCAATGTTTGTTGCTTCATTTGTTTTGTATCTTGTTATTTTGTGGTCATATTTTTCTTGAATCCTGCTTTGAAGACATATCTTTTGAGCGGAGGCTCTTAAGAAATAACCTCTCTACCCCACAAAGGTAGAGGTAAGGTATGTGTACATCCTACCCTCAAAACCACTTGTGGGATTAGACTGTGTATCTCGTTGTTGTACGGCATAAACATAATCTGACATCTAGGATATTGGTCTGTGGTAAGATATTCTAAATCTCGTCTAGGTGCAGTGATAATGTTGTCATTATCCTACCTTCCCTTTGCTTGGTGCTGCTGAAATAATTACTTATATTCAAATCCACTCTCCTATGAGAAATCCTATTAGCTACATGTTGTCCTTTCTTCTTTAGCAATCATCTTCTTTGTCTTCTTCTTGTATAAGATTGTATTCACCGATGTTGCAGTCTTTCAATGTTTAAACATCAGTCAATAATGATGCAATTTCTATTTCTATTGTATGGTTGTAGATCCTTCCAGAATTTTATTTCTCGCGCTGATCCAGACACACTATCTGCCTTAAGTGGTGGAAATGCCAAAGGCATACCTCCTGAAATGGTAAAGACAGCCTCCAATGTTATTGGCAAGATGTCACCAGAAGAACTACAAAGAATGGTCCGGTTGGCATCCTCCTTTCAAGGAGAAAATCCCTTTCTTAAAAAAGGTTCCTCAGATAGCTTTGGCCCTGGCTCAGTTCCTCCAAATGTGACACCCGACATGCTGAAAATGGCAACTGATATGATGGGCAAAATGTCTCCAGAAGACATGCAAAAGATGTTTACAATGGCATCTTCATTAAAAGAGAAAAGTCCAGTATCGGCTGCAACAACTATTGATTCTAATGGGTCAGGTCAGCAGTCAAAACCTCGTGACACTAGGGAAAATTTTAAAGTGGATGACAGTACAAGTGCAAGCACTTCATCACAGGGGTTTTCTGATTTAAATAATGGTTCTTACTCAAGCTTATCAAGTTCAAATGTTGATCTGCAAGAAGAAATGAGAAACCGAATGAAAGATCCAGCCATGAGACAGGTTTGACTTCAATCCTTTCTTGTGGAAATAGTATTTGTCCTCTGTTCTTTATTTTTATATTTGATGCATATTAGGGGCTTTATTATTTTCTGGGTAGTGATATGTATTTTAGTATTGCCTATACCATCAATAAAGATCCAATCATATTTCCCTAATGTTCACACTGCTAACTCAAAAAATCCTGATTTGAATTTGTCAAATACCCTAGTTCCTCCACTAACCAAATCATTATTTCTTACTTTTCTCTGTTTTAAGATAGATACTGTTCCACTTTGAATTTTTGGTAGTCCATATTTGAAAGAGAAACAACCCCTACCTTGTGAGGTAAAGAGGATGTTTCTAATAGACGCTCAGCTGAAGGAGCAACATATCAAAGTAGTCCGAAAAAAGAAATATGGAATTGAATTGGCCATGACAAATAATATAGGAAGCATGAAAAATGAGTTGTTACTACAACTGAATGCTTAGATAATTGAAGCACAGAAAACAATAGATTGTAACAGAAATCGAAGAACAATTCCTACAATCGTAGTACTACTAATACGGGTGTTGGATGAGAAGCTAGACAATGCACCTCAACGCTAATTTTTGTCCTTCATTACCTCCTATTTAAGGTCATGTCCTCGGTCAATTGACGTTGCGTCATGTCCTGTCTAATCACTTCTCCTCGATACTTCTTCGGCCTACGTTTACCGCTCTTAAAACCTACCAAAGCTATCTTCTCACACCTCAACACCAGGGTGTCTGTGCATCTTTTTTTCACATGCCTCAACATTGCTTCCCTTCAATATATTTGTTTACTTTGGCTGAACACCAAATCCCAAACTGAATGCTATCATCATATTTAATGGAACTACCTGGCGAACAGATTGACCGACTCTCTCAGGGTGTTTCCTCCATTAGCTCTTGTTGCTCCAATAATGTAATTACACTTGCAAGGAATATTGAAATTTGAACCGGAAGCAAGCACCATACCCACAGATGCCCCCTCTCAAATAATAAATACAAGCAGCCTTGTCGGGTCGTATATGATACGATCTGGGCCACTGCCTACCGACAATTGCCACATAGAAATCTTAATTGAACGTCCATATCTTTCAGTTTTCCTCCATCTCCGGGTAGAAATGAACGCGGGACGTTTGATGTCTTACTCGTTTAGATACGATGAGATAATCATCAACTAGGTTGCTCGGACTCTTCACTTTTGGTGCTGCACCCGTGTCCATACGACATGGGTGTGGGTGTGAGATGTGTGTCTGATTTGGTCAACCGATTGTGGGTACTTTGACCAAAATCGATGGGGAAAGTTTAGAAATTTCTATGTCACTGTTTTTCCTTTAATCTCCTTCAAGGATTCTCCTCATGTTCTCCACATAATATCTCATAATGTAGGTTTTATAACTCTATTTTTAGGCGAATCCCCGCCTATTTTCATATATGGGTCCATATCCCTGAATCTTAAAAATTAAATCACGAATGATCCAACCTGTAGATCCATACCCATATTGGACAGCCGAGTCTGAGCAACTTAGATCATCAAAGTTGGGGAATCTCAACTGGAATACCTCACTGTGCCAGTACCGGTTGTGAGCCACATTCGGCGAAGAGTTTCTGTTCTTTGTCCCCTAAATGCATTTTAAATTGCGAGTAAAATAAAAATAATTAGTGGAATCTATAGGTGTAGCTAAAGACAATTTCGGAAATTAGAAACGTATTCGTTTTTTGTTTGGGGTGAGCTCACTACATTGTCTCATTGAGTAGTGTTTCCTCATAAAGGAAAGAGAGACGGATGAGTATAGGAATGTGTAAAAAAGCACATGCATTGATGACACCATGAGTCGGGTGATGAAAGATCTTCACGGTATGTTCTGTAAGCATATTAGCTAATTACCCTGTTTTGGATCCTTTTCAGTCAGCAATCCTCGCTTATTTTATTTCTTGTATGTTTTTTTTCTAAAATAATTGCCATGTGTTGTGAACTTCCGGTAAAAATGTTTACTTTTCTAATAATATTACCAAATGTGGGGGTTAAACTTCTCTGTCCTTTGTATTTATTCGTTTACAAGCTTTTACAGAGGTTTCTGCCTTCAATTACTACTGTGTTATATGTGCCTGTACCTGCTTTATGCTGATGTATCTGGGTTCTCATTGATTTACTCCTTGACACGTTTCATCAAATTGACAGATGTTCTCTTCAATGATTAAAAATATGAGTCCAGAGATGATGTCTAACATGAGTGAACAATTTGGGGTGAAGCTCAGTCAGGCAGATGCAGAGAAAGCTCAACAGGCAATGTCATCTTTGTCACCAGATGACTTGGAAAAGATGGTAATTAATCAAAATATCCTATCCCCCTTTTCTCTGTTTCTCTTAAAGAAGATGTGTACTTTCCTCATTAAGTTGTTTTGTATCATTGTGATTCACGTGATCGGCACTGCGTCTTCACTTAGAACCGATAGATTTTTTTCCCAATCAATGAAAAACCCGCAACGACTCGTGTCTGGTCCAGAAAAAAACTAAATGTTCATTGAGCCTTGAGAAGTCATAGGAGAAAGATTAAGATATTATCACTTTAAAGGGGAGCACATATGATTGAAGTGTTGCTTGTCTTTTCAACTTTATAGTGGGTGTACATTTTTATCTTCTCCAGATGGGAGTGTGTCGAGCATCATGCTTTGGATATGAGGTTTTGTTGTAATTTGGCGTTTGCAAATTGGATTCTTTAATGAAATAAACACTGGTTATAGTTAAGTTCCAATGTTTTGCTATTAGCCATGGTGATGTTTAATTCTAACACGTCTTCTAGCGTCTTGTTACAATATAAATAGAATATGTAAACCACGAGAACCACGTGAGTAGTAGGGCTTGAGCTCTTGAGGAATTTCTGTCACCTAATTATTTTCTGGGTTTTGTAGTTATTTAGTTTCCAGGTAGTTCGCATCATCTCTTTGTTTTAAGTTAGTGACAAGCCTCATATTTTAACCATCTTTTCTAACCTTTGTCTTGTGTGTTATACACTTCACTGTTGCACAAGGTAAATCTATATTTTTTCCGAATATTGCAGATGAAGTGGGCTGATAGAATTCAAAGAGGAGTTGAAGGTGCGAAGAAGACAAAAAATTGGCTCTTAGGAAAACCTGGCATGATCTTGGCTATACTTGTGCTACTTTTAGCAGTCATCCTTCACAAGCTGGGCTTCATCGGGAGCTAAACTTGACGTTCTAGCCAAATATTAGCATGAAGAGTTGAGTAGAGTTTGGAATCCTTGTACTAATGTACTTGAAATGGGGATATCAGTGGGTAAACCTTGGTTGGAGATGACATTAGTTACTTTTGTTATATTACGCTTTTTTTTTCTTTCTTTATTTGGGTGTTTGTAGATGTAACTTAAACTTGACAAATTATTTAGTTCGCTGTTTTGCGGTAGAACTCGCCGTTTCTAGATGAAGTTTTGGTAAGACTACCCTTTACAAATTAAGAAATCATGAACTTACTGGCTCAGATATAATTCGTATTATAAAAAAATTACTATAGTGGTTTTTTGTCTGTGATTCTGATTGGTCCTGTCTGGTGAAATGTAACTTTAACAAATATAGTATATGCACATTTGTAAATGTTCGAGCGTTATAAAAGAGTATACAACGACAATTTACATGTTGAAATAAACATATGATCGAATCTTGATATGAAAGCAACTCATGTAATGTTTAAAAAAAAAGGAAGAACTAAACGTGGTGATGAGAATGACAAAGGAAATACAGCTGCTAATTCTCATAAAGTCGGAGCGAAGAGGACTAATATAAATAGTGTAATTTTACAAATTACAATTTAAAAGAGTGTAATTTCACAAAAAATATATTGTAGGTAGATCTCATCTCTTAAAAAATAGTATTTTTAATAAATACTCTCGGTTTGAAACTGTCACATTCATCTTATTTGGAAAATACAGCAACAAGCAAATAAAGAAATAAAATATGTACAATTTACAAATGTAACATTGTGAAGTTCACGTGGACCCAAGTCTCATTACTTCTCTAAGGGATTTTTTTTATATTAAGAAAGAAAAAATCAACGGTGTGTCCACCTAAAAACCGTGTTCAATGAATTATTACTCCACCCAACGTTTTTTGGGCAAAATACACAATGTACAAATCCATTAATCTTCAATTTCTGTCTCTTTCACCTTTTTTTTCTTCTTAATTATAATTATAATTGCATTTTAAGTCCTTACTTATTTTGATTATGCCATGCTAAGTCCTCCTCTCTCTGTGATAGAGTCCTCCAAAATCCAGCTCCATAGAACCGGTCCCACATTTCCGTTTCAAAATCGGCGGCTTCCCGTACTCCGTCGTCGTTTTCACCGTCAAATTTCTCCCGATCGCCGTCGTCTTCATCGTAGGCACCTAGGTAAACATTCTTATTATTCTTCATCGACTTCCATGAATCCTCCTCTTTCTTCTTCTTCCTCAAAAGCCTCTCCCGTTTCTTCTTCCTCCATATTTTCCGGCATAATCCCGTCGGGACTTTGTACAACGCTAGTACCAATAAATGCATCACCGTACATGGACAACAACAGCATACCATCGCACACTCCGCCGCTGTGCCCCCAGCTACCTCCCCTATCCGTTTATGTGTGCTGCAATTCCGTTTCTCCTCTTCCTCCTCCTTCATTGTCTCCGATTTCACGAAATTACTCGTCGGAGGTTCAACAATTTACACTCCGTTATCGTAACTGCAACAGATAATCATGAATCTCAAAAATGAATTTGGGCTTTAAACTCTGTTCAGTCAAACGAAGTTAGAAATTCATCGATTTTACGGAAACTGAAAAAAATCTAGCTAGTGGGAGAGGCTATTTATACTTGAAAGAAACAGACTCTGTGTTGATTTAGTTTTTTTTTTTTCACGTTTATTAAAAATAAAATAATAAATGGAGTATAAAAATAAATTTATTTAATCCTTTTAATATATACCTCTTCCTTTTAATTTCTTCGAAAAGATATTAATTAGATTTCTATGTAAAACTAAAACTTTAACATTAAAAAGTTTCATTTTTTATTTTTAGCAAGATATTAGTAGTCATACAACATATAATTTCTTTTTTATATTTCATGTCGAGGTAACTTAAAGTAGTACACTTTAGTGATAAACTGGTATTTTTCTGAATATAATAAAAATGACGTAGTAATTTTTTTTATTAATATCTTACTCGATGTTTGATAAATAAAAATAAATTCGAATTATATTTCAATTATTGCTGTGTTTTTCTGCATAATTTTTTTTAATAGAAAAACAGGGGTAGAAGAAAGAGACAAGTGAGGCCGCGTCAGCATACATAGGGAATGGACACATTCAAAACACGGCTCTGATTCATATTTCGGCTGAATTTATGATTTCCATTCCTTCTTTGACTATCCAATTAATTTTCTTTTATTTTTCATACTTACTCCATCTCATATTATTTATCCCCAAAATTATATGATATACATATCTTTTAAGTCATATATTTCATCTTTCCACTATTAGTTATCATATTTTTATTTTAGAGTTAAATCATAAGAATCTTGATTGATATTTTATAATATATTTTTTCATTATATTGGTATATAAAAATTATAATAATATTTTTCATATATTTTTGAATATGTAATTTTTTAATTTAAATTATCAAGTTAATGTAATCTAATTTAATTTTAAAAATTAATCAAATTGACTTTTGAAAAATGTAAAATGACAAATAAAATAGACGGAGTGAGTAGATTAATTTTGCCCAAAAATTGTTATTGTTCCTTTCGTCTGTCTTTACTCGTTCATTATATATTTTTTCAGATATCCTACAATACTTGTCTAGTTTATAAAATCAAGGAATAATTAATTATTTTGTGTCTATCTTATCATTGCTATTAAATACTCCATTTGTTCTTGTTATATTTTATATTTCGAGATTTAAACAAGTCTACCTTCGATTATAAATTTTTCATATAAATTTTAAATATTTTGGGATGTAAGTTATTGTGACTTATAGTACATTTTATAAAAAAATACCAATAAATAAATTTCATTTCAAGAACAAACAAGTATCTTTGATCATTAATTTTTGTGTCTATTATTTTATCAGTGCTATTAAGTCCCAATGGTTTGGGCTTGAAACTTCCATGTTTGAGGTCTCAAGTTTGAAACCCCTTGCAAGTTAAAGTAAAGGGTTTGCCTTCTGGATCGAGCTCGTCGCACCAGGTTTGCCTAGTGCGGATTACCTCTCATATGTGATTTGTGAGCTATTGCATAAGAGTGCAGGTTTTATTCTTGCGTACACAAAGAATAGCGACTAAGGATTTTCTTTGTCATCAACAAAAAAACGAATATTTCAAACTTAAATTTTGTGAATCTCGAAAAATAAGATATGTCACATAATTGAGGCATAGTGAGCAATACTCTGTTTATTTTTCTATGTTATAACTACTGATAGGGGTGATTTTGTAAATTTATTTCTCTCAATAGTTATATATATAAAAAATTTACATTGATAAATTATTTTATTCTTGAAAGTTGAAGATGCTATATAAGTTGAGACGGAAGAAATATTATTAAAAATATTTATTGCTTAATATTTTTTTACTCATTTTATTTGTTTATTATTTTGCGATATATTTTGTTTTTACTATCATATTTAATATATATTTTTATCTTTTATCTTTAATATTAATTATTTGAATGTGTGAAGTACAAATATATGATAAATAAAAATAAATAAAATAAGTATTTATTATTAATTTATAGTAGCATTTAATTATAATTAATTAACTCTTTAATTATATTTTAAAAAAATAAATTTTTCATTTAGTAAATAGTTCATTTTGCTTGTTCGCTTTGATAGCCAAGCATCAGGCAATACTTTGATTTTTTAATTTAATGTTAAGAAAATTCAGTTCTTGATACAAGATTTGTCGTCTTAAAGTAACTAAATTTGATATATTCGAAATTGGGCCACTTATTTTCTCCAATTTATACATAAAATTTTATTTTCACGTCTTAATATTTAATTTTACGAAATCTAATTTTATCTTAATAAAAATAGAGAAAGATGACAGATATACCCCCAGATTATTGTAAATGTTATGTAAATATCCTTCATCATACTTTTGAGACATTTATGCCCCTACCTTCATACTTTTGGGACTTTGATGCCCCTATTCGTCATACTTTTGGAACATTGGTGCCCTTGCATCGTACTTTGAGGACATTGATGCCCCTGCCTCTTTGTTAGAGTCAAGGGCATATATCCTCTAATTTATGAACGACAGGAACACAAATATCTCAAAAAAATGACGAAGGATATCTACATACCATTTACGATAATTCAGAGTTATATTTATCTTATTTCCCATAAAAATAAAATAGAGCTAAATATAAATACTAATTTTACAAACTTCTAAAAGATTTTCAGCTTAAAACATTTATTTATATTCAATTATATATAGTAGGAGGGGTAAGTGAGCTAAAGCCACATGTCGAGGAATAAGAAAGCTTTGTGAGCTCAATTTGATTCATCACGCCAAAAAAGTACTCAATAAATATTAAAGAAAAAAATAAAAATAGAATAAATAAATTATATAAATATAAATAAATGATACATAATCAAAGGTAAAGTTCAAAGTCTTCCTCGCTTTTTCTTTCTGTGGTTACCTCTCAAAAAACCCAAATTCATCTGATCAATTTGATCCTCCCTATTAGTTGAAGCTTTTTTGAGGTAAATCTTTGTCTTGTGATTTTGATCAATTTTAATTTAATGGGTGTTTGAAATTTAGCTTCTTTTTACTAATTGGAGTACTGGGTTGTGTTTTCTTTTTCCTTTCCCCCTTTTTCTAGTTCAGATTATTCTGATGTGGGTTTACTTTTTTTTTTTTTTTGGAAAGGGATAATTAAATGATGATTTTGGTATTTGATATATGTTGATTATTTTAATTTTAAAGATGGTGTTAGATTGTGTGGTGATATTTGGGGGTGGGTGGGGTGACTCTTTTAGTACTAGTGATGAGTTTGAGATGTTGTTCTATAAAGTTTGTTTGATAAAAATGGAATCTTGGGGTTTTTCTCTGAGATGTTGTTGGAAGTGTATTATTCAGTTATGAATTTTTAATCAAAGATAAAAAAAAAAATGGAAATCGATACGCGTTAGACGGAAAAGAAACTTAAATCAAGTGAGACATTGTATCGTCTCTATGTTTTTTTTTTTGATAAAGTTAAAGTTATTGTATTGTCTCTATGTAGCATTTGGTTTTCACCTGCAATGAAGCAGTCATATTACCAGTGTAAGTAAAAACCAGACAAGGTTGATAATTTGTTGTTGAGGGTTTTCTTTAGATTTTTCTAACTTTGCGTATGGGATTAGAAGTTAGAATGCTTGTTGTTTTCTTGGTTTCTTTATTAAAGTAGAGTAATATCTGAAAGGTTTTATCTTTCGACAGATGGAGGAGGGCAAGATGTCTGAGGATATTTTGACTTCGGCTGCAGCATTTGTGGAAGGTGGAATTCAGGATGCCTGCGATGATGCTTGCAGCATATGTCTTGACGAATTTTCTGATAGTGATCCTTCTACAGTATGTATTCTTCACATTATCCGGTATTAGCGTGGAAAGTAATGCTTCATCGTGGAGTAATATTTATCTTTCAACTTGTAGGTGACAGGCTGCAAGCATGAGTTCCATCTTCAGTGTATTCTAGAATGGTGAGCGAAACAATTCTCTGTTAATTAGATGTCTCATGTCTAAACTGTTCTTTCACTCTTTCTGATCATAACCTTTTATGACTTCCCCAAAAGATGACATTTTGTGGATTTTGATGGCTGCCTTAGGACCTTTGTTCCTCTCATGCCGCAAAGATGAGTTTTAGGCTCTCTTGTGTAAAATTAGAATTTCTCTATGGAGTGCCTCTGGTGGGAACATATAAGCTAGATAGGGATTTTGGAGTTCCTCTTTGTATCTGATATATTACTCTGTTGCCCAACTTTTGGATGTCATGGTTTTGTTGGAGGATTATGTGTTCCTATTGAACAGTTTGCTTGAAGATGTAAGAGAAAGGTGGTCATTTTGATTTCAGCACTGTGATTCTTTCTGATAAGTAACACACCATAAATAAATAGTGCTAGATGTTGCTCAGTGATTGTGACTATAGTGGAACATAATCATAATTGATGACTCAGAAAAGGGTGTGACATCCTTAGTCTCTTCTATGATTTTTGGTGTTTCATCTCATCTGATCTTTTTACTGACTGCCCAGTCAGCAGGAGGAGGGGGTTGTTCTTACTGTTGGTTTCTTGCTCTTTCTGTCTGGAATAATAAATGAGTGAACAACATGATGAAAAGTCGCTTCTTGAATCACCAAAATCTCCTATTACCATTATTCCAACTGAATCCATTGGAAGTTAAATGCAAATTGTGTTAATTGATTGGATCATGATTAGATTTGCTATTTTGATATGAAAGTTAGATAAAGATGAGCATTTGATTTCGTACTTCATATTTTTTGGAACAAAGTTGTGTTCCTTAGAAATTGTCATGGAAGATTATCATTTGAAAAATTATGAGCTTTGGATCTTGATTGTATATGCTGCAAACTGTGTCAAGAAGGCATGCATAGAGCTTTATTTCGTGGTGAATATCCTGATTATTTTGAATGCATGTGTTGTAGGTGTCAAAGAAGCTCCCAGTGCCCCATGTGTTGGCAACCTCTCAGCTTGAAAGACCCCAACAGGTTCTATTCTGTTCTCAAATCAGCCACTTGCTTATCACTCCATGATCTTTCTAAGTCCTCCTTCAAAGGCTTATTGATAAATGTGCTT